CACCATATACTCCTGCACCAGACCATCAGGATCCTCGTTGAGGTATATGCAGAGTCCTTTTATGACACACTCCCTGCAGACATCAATGTCATTCTCCTAGATTAAAAACAAAAAATATAGTAGCATTACATTTTCAGTAGCAGGGATGAAAAGTTAGCAAAGACAAAGAGCTGTGAGGTTGGCATCTCAATGTAATCATCAAATAAAATGCAGATAAAATTCAGTTCTGGAAAATGGTTACTTTAAGCTAAACTTGTACTGGACTTGATCACCATTGTTGAGCGGTAGCTTTGTAACCATATCAAGCCCATGATTTTAATCACCTTCTACAGTAAGCAGCAAGTTGCATTTTAGGTTCATGTGCATCTCTGTTATAGATATTTTATAACCTTAATTCAAGTCCACATTACATTTCCGTTTGGCAGAACAGTGGATCCTTATTAACTTCATCCCTTCACTAGTGGATGTGAAAGAACAATGTTGTTACAAATTCTTATTTGTGGGACACTATGGGCGCATTACAGATTTTCATGGCCCTTTCAGACCTGCAAGCATACCAGATTTTGGAATTTGTGTTTTATGTTCCTTTGTTTTGACACTAAGAAAAGCTCAAGTGACATATTTATGCATGTTGTACAATTTGAAATTATACAACATGCATTGCTAGGCTGAATTGGCCTGCTGATGGAACAAAACTATACTGATTTTATCCTTTATCATTCTTGTAATATATCTGACTCAAGTTTTCATAAAGTGGAGCTCATACGTGGCTGATGTGTATATTTTTTGCACTTTTCACAGAGGCAAATATTGTCCCCCCCAGTGTCACCACCACATGGTTATGATACCTTTATATCAGATAAAAATCTAAAATAATTTTCTGGTATGCAGAATCACAATTTTAGTATTGACCATTTTAATGGATACTTAAATCTATTAATTCCATTTATAGTGATATATTTAAAAGTTCTTACCGTCACCATGGCCGTCAAGTCTTTAAGCTTTGTGCCCTGCTGTCCTGATCGCTTTGCGAATACCCTCAACAGATTTGAGGAGTGTAAGTCAAGCTGTGACAGAAACCTCGACTGTAGCGGCATAGTTGTGATGCGCTTAAACTCTGCATTTATCTGAAATGAAACAACATTAACCAATTTTTTAACGCCACAGGCCAATCACAAATTCATACATTAGAAGTTTCACCAGAACTGCACCCACCAGTGACATCTCTAAATGTTGTAGCGCATATTCCCCAACAGCAAAAACAAGTCACACTGTTAAAGAAATGCTTAAACTTACCTCCATTACGTCAAAGAGAGCTGGCCATCTCTCTTGTACATCACTGATCATGGGAGCATCACGAACTATTTCTTGTCTTCTTAATGGAAATGTTTTTTCCATTTTGGCTCTAATCACCTCTCTGTTATTACGCTTTTTGATTTCTGAAAGCAGTTCAACCCTCATCTTCTCCAGGGACTGGTAGCTTTCTCCAAGTGGAAAGGGAGGACAGTAAGCCACTTCACCCCTCTTTGGCTTTTTAACATCAAAGGCAGGACAACGTTTTCCATCTGGTTTATGTTTCAAAGCATTTACACATACTTCAGGACATCCTACTTTCCGGAGATGTGTGCGGTAGTTGGATAACTTGTATTTGAGACTGGTCTTCCAACCCCCATAGCCTGTTGCTGAACCCGTTTCTTGTAAACATGGATGCCTCATGATGAGTGCCTCTGCAACTTGGTCAAACTCTCTGTCTGTAACATACACTTTATATTTAACTATCTCCTGAATCAACACTTCCAGTATATCAGACTTCAGCTTTGGATCGGGGATCAGCAATGTCCCTTTTTCTTTAAAAGCTTTGTTTGCCTCCTGAAGCTTGAGCTCTGCATCATATGGAAAATGTGGAACACAGAACATATCTGGCCATGAAGACCGTGAAGAAGTGGATTCCGGAGATGAGAGAATCACAGTGCTATCTCTAGAAGATGATGTGCTGTCATCAAGATAACTGGATGGTGGGATGGAGCAACTTTCAACACACTGACCAGTGTCAATGTTCACAGGTTTGCTGGATGTGTATATGACCTTGAGTGTAGCTTTGTCTTGAATTTCCTCAGTGGAAGTTAAATTCATAAACTCATTGCCAAAAAGAGTGTCCATGAACTGAAGCCGAAAGGGTTCATTTATTTTACACTGATTCTTTATCTCAGTTTCTATTTCAGCCAAAGTTAATGGCAGGCCAGTGGAAAACAGCACCCTCTGACAGCTGTCTGGCCCTAGGATTACTCTGAGAATAGCTGATGCCATGGTTTCACTTCACTGTCTGTTAGAAAAATAAGAGAAAGTAAACAAGAGGTTTGCAATCATTAGGTACATGTGATCATCAAAATCACTGTCAATATCACTGACAATAATT